TGTACACTGATCACCGGCTGTGTAGGGCAAAGGCTTTATTTGCCCAGCTCCCCTGGAGCGAAAAGCAGTATTTAATACACGCATAAACAATTTTTATCAGCCAAACTTTCAACCCTTACAGGTCCCCATGCGCCAAAACTAGTTTGCCGGTGCCTCGGGAAGGCCGAGGAGCTGCACCCACATACACAGGTGTGCCACCCGCGGCTCCGCGACGGAACCATTAATTATTGCAAAACCCCGGTGCCTTGCGCAGGAGGAACCCCGAAGGACTCCGCGCTCCCGCGAAAGCCGAGCACGGGACCTACGGCTGCTGCCCACGGCCGCCCCGGGACCACCGCAAGCTTGCACAACCCCAAACCGGGGTCGGCAGCCGCTCTCCGCCCGCCGCACACACAGACGCAACCCCCGCCTCGGCAGCCGCCGCTCTCACCCAGAAGGTGGTGGAGTAGGTGATGAGGGTGAGCTTGAGGCAGAGGTAGGACAGCCTCCCGCAGTACCGCACTTGCTCCGCGTCGCCCGCCGCCATCCTCCCGCCCCGCCGCACCTGCCGCCGCCCGTCCCCTCCCCTTCCCGGCGGCCCGCGCCCGGCGGAAGGGAGCGGCCGCCCCGTCGGGCGGGTCCGGGGGCGCCGCTGCTTCCGGGAGCGGGACCGGCTCGGGGGCTGTGGGGATGAGTGCGTGGGGATGCGGAGGGTGGTGTCACAGCGCACGGCCGAGAAACACAAAGAACACGGGGCGGGGGGGAGAGGGAGGATGTCGGAAGCTGAATGAAAAGCTCCGGAGCGCTCCCGGCTGCGGCTTTTTATTTTTTCTTTTCTTTGTTTAGCCGTTCCCTTGGCAAACGCCGCTCTGCCGAGGGGCTGCGGCTTCGGGACTAACCCCACAGCCGGAGCCGTCATAAAAAATTGTATCGCTACGCAAACAGCCCCCTCACAGTGCTGCCGGAGCGGCTCACGCATCCACAGACCTCGGCAATTGCCAGGGAAAACCGCGTGGACAGAAATACAGAGGCTGGGTTTTTGGTTAAGCGTACATAAACAGTGCAAAGCAGAATCCCTACACTTTACAGGGGCACGATTAAGCAGTACCAGAGCATTTACCTTTAATTACAACACCCAGGCAATTGCGTGTGCAATGAGGGTCCCATCCTGCAAGTAACACAGCAGAAGTGCAACAGTTAATGGGCATATCGGGCTGGCCCCATTTTCTGCCTATGCCGGCGTTTATCCACATGCCTCTGCCGTGACAGTGGGCCAGTGTTGGGTCTTACACAGCGATCATGAACTGCAAACACCATTCATGCCTACGAGATGAAATAACCCCTTTCAAGCTGGCAGTGCTGCACTCCTGCCCCACAAAGGGCTATTTTCCTCAGGGAAAAAAAAGTCTCATTCAAAGTGGCAGACAACTGTCACAGAGTTGGTTGTTGCATCCTGGCCCAGAGCAGACAGACAGCATTGAAAATCAGTGTCTGGTATCTGAGAAGATGAAGTGCAGCGGCATTTATTCTTAAATTACTCGGCAAAGAGATTGTGGAAAACCTCAGAGCTGTATATGTAAAAGTGGTCAGTCACACAACATTTCATTAGGTACGTATCATATAATAGCAGTTGGTCCCAAAACCTCTCTGATAAAGCCTAAAGTATATTCCTAGATAATTTTGTTACAAAAAGTGCCATTGCTTTTGCATGTGGTGCTAAATTCTGCTTCTGGGAAAAAAAGAATCCTGCCCAGGGCCCTGCCCGCAACAGAACAGCTCCTCACCTCTTAGGTTTCTGGCAATAACGCATGATACAATGTCCTAGGGCATTAATCTTCTAAAATATCAACAACTTAAATTTTGAGACAAATTTGCAAATATCTACCAGTAGCATGCAGGCTGGAAATCACATCACTTAAGTGCAGGGAATTAGTGTCCGCTGCGCATTCTTTATGTCTCTTGGGCATTGTTCACATCCAAATGTGTTCCTGTCATTTATGCATTTTCCTTGTTTATGCATTTAACTAAGTTAATAGTTTTGGTTTGATTTCCCTAATGTTTCACCTTGTCATTTGTGCTGTGATTTCTGCAAATAAAATTTCAGGGTAAAACCAGCTGGATGCAGAAGTCGATTAAAAGGAGTGTCCATTTTCCTGATATTGTCACTCTGAACTGAGGCAATACATAAAAACAGGTTCCTGTTACAAAGCCATATGAATATAATTGAACAATCCTTTGCCTGAATCCCAGATTTTGTCTAGACAGTGAAATGGCAAGATTTCTGGACACAATTAGTATAGTTTAGCGGCAAAGAGTTGTTTAAAGTGAGATGCTATGAATTGCCTGCAGTGCTGATGGTCCTCTCCACCTCAGCCCCAAGCAGCACAGACCTGCAGTTTTCCAACCAAGAGTATGGCATCTCTACACCAGCATCCAGACAGACCATGTATTACATGATCCCAAGACCATCCAATGGCTCAAATTCCATGGCTTGGAATTCCATTGCTTGGTTGTTGCAAGTGTGTACAAGGCTTGGTAGATCCCATGAACAAAAGCAGAGTCTGCAGAGCACTTGTCCCAGGTCTTTAGGAAATCCACAGAAAAGTGAACCTGCAGCTAGCCCTGCACCAAAGAGTATCAGGATGACCCTGTGCATTTTAGAGCAGCCAGCAGCATTTTTGCTGCTTTCTTCCATCCCAAGCCTGGCTGATCAAGCTGCAGTCTGGCTGCGCATTGCCCCACCCAAGGTGAACTCTGATGGTCCTCACATCCCTTTCTCAGATCTGTTCCTTAGACAAAGATCCTTCCTCCCAAAGCAGAGCCCAGCATGCAATACTGTTAAAGCCTCTACTGCCCGAGTTACCTTGTATTGTTTTTCCAAAACACAAAATGCACTTTATTCACCCTCCTGACCTTCCAGACCTGCATCTTTTGTTTGCATCTCTCACCCTGTGCCCGGTACTGGGATCAGTGACTCAGCATGGCCTCAAACAATCCTGCCAGTAACAAGAACAGTGAAACCAGCCAAACCCAACCACTGCTCTCAGATAGTCCCTTTCCCTGGTATAACTCCAAAACCATTGGAGAGGCAGGTTTTGCAATAGTCCCAGGAAAGTGTGGCTTTTCTGAGGTATTTGTAGCCTGCTTTTGTGAAAAATCATTTCATTTTGCAAGTGAAAAGGCCAGTAGCACACGCTAAACTGCTGGCCTGGCTCCAGGATGATAACCTTGCTAATGCACAACCAGCAAATGAATAAAAGGTGTGGGTGTGTATAAACAAAAGCAAGTCTCTGCTGACTTATATGAGGAAATGTTGACCAAAGGGTGCCTGCTCTCCGACTAACACCCAAGTAACAGATCATTGACCAGGGCAGACAGTTGGGTTGAAGGTTCCTAGGAAACAGGGGCACCCTGATCATCTTCAGAATCAGCTGAGAGAGGCTGTGTTTCACCACTGAAACATCAAAAAGTACAGCTATTTTTCTAAGCACTTGCTAATGTCCCACTTTCTATAAGGAAGACTGATAAAGCACTTTAGCTGCATTCGCAGCTAAACAGCTGGATGCTTTTGCTCATATTCTCCTTGGAACTTGAAGAGATTTGAGAAAGATAAAAAAAAAAATAATAATCTGAAGAACACTATTAGATGTTGAATTTGTATTGCAAATCATGAACAGCTCTCCTGGACTGTATACAGAAAATGGAAGGTTCATAAGCTGTTTAATGAGGTGTCAGTGGAAGACTTTCAAAAAGAGCCTGAAACTCTTTGCAGTGCATATGAGAAGACACGTAGAAGGGTATTTTTGCAGTTTCTGGGTAGGGAAGTGGGTTGGGATTACCTGCAAGGAAGTCCATTGTGATGAGAAGGAGATACTGTGTGTAGTACTACAGGTATTAATTTCTAAAAACCAAAGCTGGGGTAATACAGTATCAGAGAAGATCTGCTTTAAAGAGTTGCAGAGTTAGGTGGTGGGTTAACTGAAGACTGCCTCCAGAAATTAACGAAGCAAGGAAAGAGTCCAGGCTGAGCTGGTGGAAAAGATCCTGAACTGATAAATACTGCCCTGCTGCAGGGGTGCCTGGCACAGCTGCAGCGCCAGCAACTGCCAGAGCTGGAAAACTACTGCCATCCAAGGGCCGTGCACACAGGGGGAGTTTTTCATTTATGTTACTTTCTGAATCCTGAAAACAGGTTTTAATATCTGAAACATTTTCAGCTTCCAGCAGAGCAGGCACAAGCTGGTGCCAAGTACTCTTTGAAATCTCAGCCTTGACGTGTTGCTTATATTTATGTTCTTTACTGCAAAGCTGACAGCAAGCAAGAGCACTGTGCTCTGAGCAGAGAAGGGAGCCAGGGGTTCCACTTTCCCATGAGGATCAGATACTCCTTCTTGCATGCATGAGGTCAGTAAGTTTCTACAGCACAGTCCTGGAAAGGGGATGGAGTGGTACGAAGGGGCAATGCCCCTTATTAAGCCCCTCAGCAACACAGGGCATGGAGTCTGGGAGCTGAGGCTTCTCTGGATGTTTCTATGCTGGACAGCAGCTGGAGAAGGATTTCTGGAGCTTTTGGTGAAATCCTGGGTGCCAGATTCCCACTGAAGCCTTACTAGAAGTCCCAGCTCACAAATGCCTCTATCTTGGCATTATTCACCAGTGACCCTTCAAGCACTAATAGGACATGTTGCTGTAATTTAAATAAGTTAAATCATACCAAATCTACTAAATATGGCTGGTCGAGACCTAAGGCAGTCGCCATTAAGCAAAATCTATTAAAAATGTGAATAAGCCTCCAACTCATTGCAGACAGCAAGACCATCTTGCTAAAACTGTGCTGAATGTATTTTGTTTCATTCTTAGGTGTGCAGAGAGCTTGCAGGAAGCCAGGGTCATGGAAATACAAGGATTGCAGGACTGATAAACCTGGCAAAGTACCTACCCTTGCATTTAAGTCTGTAAAATCCTGGTAGAGCAGCACATCCATTTCAGAGGTTATTTCAAAACAAGCTGGGGGGGGGGGGGGGGGGGGGAGGAGAGGGAAGCTTTAAGTACCATTTTGCCATGTTTCATTTGATGTCAAATCAGTTGTTTAGTTTTAGCCTGCAAGAGACTCCACCTCCTTTCAAAAGTCCCCTTAAACCCTGCAGAGAATTTATCCCAGCACAGCTCCTGCCTCACCCGTAACAGATCAGCAAAGAAAACCAAATGTCCTCCGTCCCGCTGAAGAGGATCAAATACCTGGTGCCTTGGAAAACCACTGCTCTCAAAAAGAAGGATTTCCACTTGGATTGAAGTTTTTTCTGGCTTGATACTTCCTTTTACATTTTCTTGGCCCTACAAATAATCTAAAGGAAAAGAGCTGTTCTTTAGTTTTTGCTCTTCAAGCATAGGTTAAAATGCCAGGCAAGGAAGAGTCCCTCGGTACCACTCATCTCCTGAAACTACATTGCATCATTTGGAAAACAGGACGAGAGGACATGAGACATCTCATCCCAATGTCTTTTTAACGGCACTTAGGTCATATGCATGGGGGTTCATAATACCAGCGTCTACTGCAAGAAAATGAGCAGATGCCGGAAGATTTCATTTTATGCTTAGCTGAAGAAAAAAAAAAACATGAGCACATTTTCCATTTTAAATGCTAGCAACATGTCACAAGCTGACTCCCTTGAGGACAGCAGCAATTGGACAGCAGTAACCCAGTTTACCCAGCCAGGCTGGCGAATTGCTTTGTGGGCTATCACCTATTCCTTCATTGTCATCACATCCATCGTTGGCAACATCACCATCATCTGGATTATTCTTGCACACAGGAGAATGAGGACCGCTACCAATTACTTTATCGTTAATTTGGCTCTTTCGGATTTGCTGATGTCCACTTTCAATACCATCTTCAACTTTATTTATGCCAGTCACAACGTCTGGTATTTTGGTGAGGAATTCTGCAGGTTTCAGAACTGGTTTCCCATCACCGCAATGTTTGTGAGCATTTATTCCATGACAGCCGTGGCTGCAGAGAGGTAAGAGGCGAATGGAGAAGATAAGATTCAAAAAATCCACTGTAAGCTGTAAAAAATTCTCGCAATACTTTGTGCAATTGTCCTACTCTCTCAGGTGCCTTATCAACAAGGTGGGAGGAGGGCCAAGCAAACAGACTGGGGGGTTAGATCCTAGTTATGGTGTGAAAGGAAGGCTCTTCTGGTTTGTCCCTGGTCTGAATCACACCCAAATGTGTAACAAGTGGAAGTGGATGGTGTTTTGTTGTTCCCACATTATGATCACAAATTGTTTCCCAGTCATCCTGCAAACCATTTTATTTATTTTTTTTTAAACCATGAGAAGGACCCATCATTTGGACGGAGCTGGAGTGATAGGAATATATTAGAGTGCTGAATGTATCAGCATCCAAGATTCTGCTTGTGAGTCCAGCAAACCACCAGAAATAATGGGAATTGGATCTGAAATGTCAGTCTGCTCCAAGAGTTCACAAGAATGACTTATTCCAAGAGGGAGGAAAGTAATTACAATGATTTTGTTTGACTTCTGAAGTAATTTGGCATTTTCATCATGCTCTTTTACATCTGCCAAGTCTGTTTTACTCAAGCTTAAATTTGTGGTCTGAATGTGTTTACAGTCCATTGTTAAGCAGCCTGATGCTGTTTTTCTTTTTACTAGAAAGAGGCCAAAAGTCCATGGGAATTTCCTCTTTTAAAGGCAATGGCATGTGAAAGAAGTTGAGGAGGTTAAGCTCCCTTCTAGGCTCTCTGCCCTCCTTCCCCTTATCCTTCCTGTCTGTCCATTACTTCCACTCTCTGCCTGATGCTGGAAACATCTGTATCTTTCCCATCCTATGTCTCTGCTTAACCTGACAGCAAAGGTCTTCCCTGGGGCAGCCTAATACTGAATCTAGAAAACTTGTCAGTCCTTTATCAAGCCCTCCTGTTGACTTTGCAGTTTTCTTCAGGTTTCCCCCATTCCTTATCAAGGATGTGAACCACAGAAGGCCCTCCAGGCTCCCTTAGGAGCAGAGCCAGCATCCCTCTGGAGCTATGCAAAAAGCGTTGCTCCGTGAGTCATTGGGGTCACGTTCGTACCTTCTGTCCTGCTCACAGCTTCGCTCACCCCGGCACGCCCAGCTGCAGGAAGCAATCGATAGACAAATCAAACCAGATAAACAAACTAGCAGGAGAAAGGTGGCTTTGCCCTGTGTGCCTGTGACACCTACTGCGACCCACACTGGAGCTGGGGATATGGCACAGCACAGAGTAGTGGCTTCTGTGGTTACTGGAAGGATTGCTAATAAGAACAGGGATGAGCGATACGTTTATCAGCCTGCAGTTGTTCAGATGAAAGCAAATCCCCATTTAGAAGTAATGACAGCTCAGTTTCAGACTCAACTACTCTTTTGCTGTTCCTTTTAGTAATGAGTTCCTGGTAACTGCTATTTTATACATGTGGCCTGCCAAAAAATATTATTTAAAAAACAAAACAAAATCCGTTTCAGCCTGTCCTCATGTCTCCCTACTCTCATTCCTTGTGGACTTTTGGTGAAAGTACCTTTACAGTCACATGGCACGGATCAGAACGAAAACTTGGCATCTCGCTGCAAACCATATTTAGCTATTCTTTGCTTAGCCTTAAAATAGATCCTGACACTGTCTCCTGGAAACTCACGGCTTCCATTTATTGTTATGAGAACTTGCGTCCACTTGGGCTCCGTTGTTTAACTTTGCTAAAACAATGTCTTTTGAAGCGGTTTCTTGTAAGGAAGAAGGCTAAGAAGTGACAGCTCTGTAAGTCATCCTTGTCTGCTGTGGGAAAGGCCCTAGCTATATTGCTCACTGTTGGGTTTACAGAAGACGGAATGGCTGGGTTCAGAAAGGACTTCTGGAGATGATCCAAGCCCCCTGCTAAAGCAGGCTCACCTAGAGAAGGTTGCACAGGATCACAACCAGATGGGCTTTGAATCTCTCCAGAGGAGTCTCCACAACCTCTCTGTGCAGCCTGTTCCACTACTCTGCTACCCTCAGTGTAAATAAGTTTTCTCTCATATTTAGATGGCACTTCCTGTGTCTCAGTTTGTGCCCATTGCCCCTCACCCTGTCACTGGACACCACTGAAAAGAGTCTGGCCCCATCCCGACCAGGATCTGACACCCACCACTGAGCATATCTGTATGCACTGATATGATCCCCTCTCAGTTGTTTCTTCTCCAGGCTAAACAGACCCAACTCTCTCAGCCTTTCCTTGTAAGAGGGATGCTCCAGACCCCCGTTTATCTCTGTAGCCCTCTGCTGTACCCTCTCCAGTACCTCCTTATCTTTCTTGTACTGAGGAGCCCAGCACTGGACACAGTCCTCCAGGTGTGGCCTCACCAGGGCAGAGCAGATGATCACCTCCCTCGACCTGCTAGCCACATTCTTCCTAATGCATCCCAGGATACTATTGGCCTTCCTGGGAGCAGGGCTTGGAGAGAGGGTAGAGGGAGCATGAGCAGTAGGGGGCAAAGGCAGCCCTGCCACACAAGAGTGGCCAGAAGACCTCAGCAGATTCAGTAAATCCAACTCCAGCGGGCAGGAGCTCTCCTTGGGATGCACCCCTGGCTGAATAGGAAAGCTTCCATCCAGCAGCCCAGGTAACACCTTCAGAACCTGCAACTCAGGCTGCTTCAGAAGCACAGTGGGTGGCATCGTTTATACCCAGGATTTGTTTCACTGAGAGCCACAAATCAATTCTAGAGAATATTCACCACTTGATTCATCCCTGACCAGATTTGAGCACTGTATAATACTGCCTACGATGAGCTAAAGAAAAGCAAGGCAACATGAAAATTTTATAGCTAAAAAAGGCTCTGCTGCCAGGCAGCTCTGGCTTACTTACTGTGCCGCCTGTCCATGCAGCCGCCCTCTATCCTGCACCAGCAGCCAGGCAGAGCTCCCTCCCAGTGACCTGGCCAAGAGACAGCACAGAATTTGTCAGATTTTTGCTATGAAAACAAGAAGGCAATTGGCATTTTCCACTTTGTTTTGCCTTTGTAACAACCATGTCAAAGCGTACAGAGAGCATGACAAGAAATGCGTACTTGATTATGTAGTCATTACGATACCATGCATTTCTACACAGGGAACTTAAAACCAGAGAGCACTGCAGGCTTGCATGTAATCCAATAGTCAGATGTGCCATGAGGGCTCTGAGCAGGTGTGGGATAAAAGGGTCAGCCTTTCCTTTCCTCTGCGAGCACAAGCACTTGAGCATTTGCAGGCAGAGGTGGGTGGCACAAGAGTTTTGCACGGCTAAGAATCAGTGGGGAATAATTCAGGGTAAAGGATACTCAAGACCCGTCTGCTGTTGTGATAACATGGGGCATCACAGGAGGTCGACGTAATTTTGGGGAAAAAAAGAGCACTTGGGCCTTTTTTTTTTGGTAGAGGAGGGAGACATGGCACAGTTTTAAACACTACATATCACTAAACTAATATTAACAGTTCACAGCATGAAATTCCAGACCAAGCACATAAAACATTTGAAAAATTAATTAAAAAAAAATTTAAAAACTCCAAGAAAGGAGAATACTTACGAAGACCATATCCAGAAGGCATAGATGGCTGCTTCCTCCTCATACCTTAAACCATTCCCCAAGACTTGCAGCTGCTCTCTTCAGAAGATATTTAGGCCCTTCAAATTATTTATAGCATGGAACCTATCAAAATCTCTCTATAAATAAAGCCCACTACACCATTCTGGTGAGTTTTTACACTTGCTTACACTGTATTTGTTGTATAGATTACCAATGCAACTGTAAAAGCATTACCTGTTTTTCTTGCAGGTACGTGGCAATAATTCATCCCTTCAAGCCCAGGCTCTCTGCAGGAAGCACCAGAGTCATCATAGGGATAATCTGGCTGGTGGCATTTGGGCTTGCCTTCCCACAGTGCTTCTACGCTGAGATCATGATGGACAATGGAACGATAAAATGCATCGTTGTCTGGCCTGATGATGTCGGCTCAAAACACCAGCTCACGTAAGAGAAATGAGAAAACTCCTAATTCATGCGAATGTTAAGTAGGAAATTCATTTCTTCTCCAAACCATTGGCTACAGGGAGAGCGGGCAGGGTGGAACCACACAGCAGGGGAATGTGGGTGTGAGGCAGGCAATCTAAGCTCAGTTAAAGCCAGCTGTGGAAAAAGCTGCCAGGTGATCACAGCTCAGGGCAGGGAAGGGTGATCTATCCTCCCCTGCTCTGAAAACTGGTTATAAGATCTAGAAACCCCAGATACAGGGCTCGGTGGATTTAAGAGAAACCAGCACAGCCTGGTTCCAAGGATTTTGGATTTGCTCCCTCCATCAGGCAGGAAGAAACTGGGTATCTTTAATGCTGAAAAGCTACACAAATGTGTAGCTTAAAAATCAGGCTGCTCTTTGGGTTAGGGGAGGGGTGGGAAAGAGGAGCATGTTTCAAACATCCTAAGGTTTTATAGATTGACTTATCTGGGCACACATCTGTGCTCCCAAAAGCTCCTGACCCTCACAGCAATTTCCTCCTGCTTTAAAACATGATTGTTCAGACACATGGAACAAGCCATACCTTGCATTTTAGGGGATGTGCTGTGATTAATCATTATTCAAAGCACATGATACACAGAGTAGTTTGAGAAATTTATCAAGCAAAACATATTTATACTAAGAAGTAATGGAAGAACTGCAGAAAAGAAACAAATCCATTAACAAAATGGAAACAATTTTTCAAACCAAAACAAAGTTCTAAACCCCCCGTGCCTGTTCTTCACTGTGAACTGCTTTTGCCCAGCTGCATGTACCAGGGACATTTTTCCCGTCTCAGTCTTCATTTCTGGTAGACAGCTGGATGCCTCCTATGGTTAGTTATTACCAAATCAACTGTTTTTCACACTAACATGTGCCAAGTTTCAGGAGCTCTATGTAAGTTTGGGTAACTTGCAGCAAATTCAGCCACTGGTGCCCAGTTGTCCCCAGTCGCCAGAGTCACAGAAGAATAAAGAGTAAAATCAGGCTCATGTCATGTTGGGTGATGCTCCTCTCAGGGGTCCTTGGCTGGTAGCCCATGGCACATGCTGGGGAACACAGTGTGCAAGCTCCTGTCGATTAAGAAGGAGGGGTAATAGCTGATTGCTTTTATGTAAGTCACTGATGACTCTTTCATTTAGATGAAACTTAGTGTGGGGTTTATTTCTCCCACAGCCATGGTTTGAAACAAGAATTTCCCAGTATAGTGACAAAACCTCTGCAAATTGGAAAGGCTGGTCCTGAATGTGAATAATGGGGCAGGTTCTTTCTGGGATCCCCAGCTTAGGAGCAACAGTTCCTGAACGCAGAACATGACTTCATTCACCAGCTTACTCTCCCTGAACAGCCTCAGATTTGCAGGTTGCAGTAGTTCTCCTAAAGAGGAAGTTGGAAGCAGTGCTCCCCAGAAATCATCTTGGGTGATGGAGCTGTTGGGACAGATGCCTGCAATACAGACCACTGAGAAAAAAAGCCATATGCCATTCATGTGCTAGTCCAAATACAGAGGGAAAGAAATATTAAGAAACCCAAAGAAAAAAAAAAAACAGAAGTGGAGAACTGGGTTCCTCTGTTGACTGTGGGTTCTCAAAATCCTTCATAGTTGAGTAAAAGCAGCCTTCAAGATTTCTAGACTTCCGAACAAAGGAAAATCCTTTTCTGCAGGAAAAATGTGTATAAGTATGATAGAAACAGGTAAAAAAAGACCCAAACAATACTGCTGTGACTGCCAGTGCCTGAGAAATACTGGATGCAAAGGGACTGAATCTGTAGAACTTTAACCAAAATAAAGAACTTTAACCACAAGAGGATTATTTTATTTTTAACTCGTGACAGGTTAACTTTGCAGCAAAGCAGCACAATTACAACACTAAAAGTTCTTTGTGTCATGTGCCACTTAGGCTCCTATCCCATCCTGCTCCTCACAGGATGGGAACTCTAACAGGGCTTTGCTGATTAGACCTTCAAAAGAGGTACTGCTCTGAGGACAGTTGGGAGAGGTGGAAAACAGGCAGGGACTTGCCGTGTTTCACAGATACAATATTTTTCTATATGCAGCCATCACTTTGATACCTGCAAACATTCCAAGCAGCAAACACCTCCGTGCACCCCAACACCCATTTTGACAGCCCTCTGCAAAGCAGTGGACCCCGCTCGCTAAGGCAGCAAGTAACTCCAGGGTGTTGTCATGCTGAGAAAGACCATTTGCACCCAGCCTTTTGTGGCCATTGCCAGCAGCCTGTGCCAGAGCCCTCCTGCCTAATCCCAGTTTTTACACTGTTTATGTTAATTTGACAGCTGCTGTAACTGAGTGAGCAGGTTGTTCCCTCCCTATAAATGGTGGTTGCTTAAAATAATTGACCCCCAGCATGAAGGAATCAGCAGAAGCTTGCAGGGTAACGTGGAAGGCTAAGAAGGGCTGAGCTAAAACACAGCCAAAGGAGGTGCCAGCACTTTTGGCTGGAGCAGTAACCGAGTAAGTAGCCTGTTGGTGATACGTAATTTTGTGCACACACACAAACAAAACCAGCCAGCAACACAAATACAGCAATAACTGCCATTCACTTTCTGCATGCTGTAAGCAGGCAATATTCCTTCCTTGCTATCTCAGAGTCTCACCTGATGGCTTTGTGCACGCTGTTAGCAGCCAGCTACGTCTTGCAGTCCCCGATCCAGGTATTTTCACTGTTGCCAAATTGAGCTGTTGACACCATTGCATTTGTCAAGTTACTCTGTGGTTTTCAGAATATCCCTTTTCAGTATCTGCCATTTAAAGGTTCGTATCTTTACAGCACAAGTCTCAGATGTGTCTCTTTCTCAACTGCTATCTTGAGGGATAGCAAAGTTCAGTGCTCTCTGGTAAAAAACAAACCATATTACTTCATCGTGAAAGAACAATGAATCCAGTCCAAGCACTAATCGTTACAACACAAGAGAGATGAGCTTCTGCTCTTTACAGAAGTCCCTGTAACAATGTTTGTAGACAAAATTTCTGCTTCTTTATGCTTTGAGGTTGAAGTTAATGGGAGCCAGGCTTACATGTCCAAATGGCAATTTCTGAGAGCCCTTCAAGAGACGTACTGACTATGAAAACGTGCTTGTTCTTCTTTTTCAGGTATCACATTGCAGTGATTGTGCTGATTTATTTACTGCCTTTACTGGTGATGTTTGTTGCGTACAGCATTATAGGAATTACTCTGTGGAGCAGTGCAGTTCCAGGCAACCACCTTAACAGAGCCCGCTACGAACACCAAGTTAATGCCAAAAAAAAGGTCAGAAGTGAAACTTAAAAATAATTACCCTCAACACACCAGTGCTGCTGGCTCCAAATCCAAAATGAAGCTTGCGTTTGATACAAACTCTTGTGGGACTGGGCATGAAAGGTTGACAAAATGTTTTGGGCTGGGGGTAAAGGGCATCACCCAGCAAGGATGAAAAGAAATTGCGATCTACATGTGCCAGCCATCATCCAAGGAAGAAAGGCTCACATCAGTAGGCAGCAGGCCAGTTCCCAGCAGTCCTTAGAGAGTGAAGCCACACAGTGCAGGATAAACCAGGGCAAAACTCTGGACAGGGTGGGAGAGGTTTCAATTCGACAGCAGTTATTTCCCTACTACAGCTCTCTGATGTAGCTGCAAGCAGTTCCTCTGCAGAAAGTCCACTCGGTGCACCAGGAATCATTTGCTCTAACTCTCAGGCTGTTCCTAGTTTCCACCATCAGTGCTGGGGGTTTTTGCCCTATCAGCTCAGGTCTACATACCATATGCAGCACTTCAGGAGTAGAAAACAGACCCAACCCAAATGCAGCATTTCCCATTTCCCCAGAAGGCTCATATGATCACCCAGAGGCCCAGGAATAACACAGTGGTTTTGTTTTTCTAGTTTGTGAAGACCATGGTGGTAGTTGTGATCATTTTTGCTGTCTGCTGGCTGCCCTATCACATATACTTCATCCTGGGAAGCTTCAAGGAAGACATCTACCAGCAGAAATACATTCAACAGGTTTATCTTGCAGTCTTTCTCCTTGCCATGAGTTCAACAATGTACAACCCCATCATATACTGCTGTCTTAACCAAAGGTGAGTAGTGTGCATGTGAGTGAGCAGAGAAAACAAAAATCTCAATCTGAAAAAGCAAAAATCTCTGGAGGTGAGAACAACTGTGATTTTCAACTGCAGTACACAGGCTAAACAGACAATTTATACTCTGCTAATAATGTGAGATGAGCCACACCATGAGATTTTAACTCAACCCTTAAGATTTTCAGCCTCTGAACAAAGCACAGGTAGCAGGCATATGATCAGCACAGCCACTGTTGTACACATTTCCACACACAGACTCCCTTATTTCCAAGGAAGGAGCGAGGAATCTGTAACCCCTGCCACGCATCTGCTGACCTAACGCTGGGCTGGGTTGGCCAACCATTCCTCCCAGACCACCGCCCTCCCAGCACAGCCCTGTGCCCCTCACACAGGGCCTGGGCTCACTCCTGTGGGCAAAGGAGCAGCCCACGGGTGACCTGCCTGGAGTCCCGTCCCGGCATGCTGCCGCGAGCGAGGGGCTGGGAGAGCACAACCCCGTTGTGCCAAGAGATGTCCCTCTTGCTCCGTGCTAAGGACGGGCTGCTCCCGGGGCGCTGGCGCGGCAGGAAGCCGAGTGTGGGGAGCTGCTCTGGCTGCCCTGCGGATCTCCATGCGAGATCCTGCCTGCGCATCCTACTGACAGACCTCTCCCTAATCTGCATCTCTCTTCAGCTTAGCTGCGTGGGCAGTGAGCAGTGAGCTTTAAGGGTATTTATTATACACCTTATCCAGCACCTCCAGTGCAGTTTCACCGCGTTTTCACCGGAAAAACGCCTAACTGCAGGGTGATGCAAGGAAGCTCAGTCCTTAGGAGCATTTCTAACAGCATCCTGCCCATAAACTCACAAAAGGGGGAAGCTTTGCAGCCCATTCAGCCAATCCGCACTTAAGGCCAAACATCCAAACACATCCTTCTCCTCTCAGAAAGCAGAGAGCTTCCTCATTTAATTATTCATGATTTTTAAAAAAGCTTCCAGTGGGAAAGCACACGTATCTTCCTCTGTGCAATTAAAAAGATGAATTCACCATTTCATTTCTTTTCTTGCATGTACAGATTTCGTTCTGGCTTCAAATTAGCCTTCCGGTGGTGTCCATGCATAAAAGCAACTGAGAAAGACAAACTCAAACTCACGTCCCCATCTCTTTACCAGACAACCCACAGGAAGTCAAGAACAACAAGTTTTGATACAGAAACTCAATTGAATGAGAAGGAGAAGACATCATTTACCCCCACCCAGCTAACACTCTGATTTTCTCCTCCTGTTTCTGGCTCTATCCTAATTCAGAATTCCAAGGCAGCAGATTTGTAGAAGCCTGAGACTGGTCTTTTTTCTGGAGCAAGTGTTTCTGTCAGGATGTTTTTATATGCCATCAGCATTGAAAGCACCCTACTGATAATGCTTATATCCACGTGGGCCCAAGTATCACCCAGCTATGGATACAGGTTCAGCTCTCTCCTACACCAACAACTGCAATACAGAACACAGAGAGCTTGCCCGTGAGGTCAAAAGAAGCAGCAAAGCAGACCTGAGGCACTGCCAATCACTAGAATGATCAATTATTCTCTTCCAGATGGCGACCTCCTTTCTGTTCCACCAAGACACTTAAATCTGGAAAAGGGGTGATGAAGCAGAAAGGCTGGAGCACGTTTAGTCCAGTCTGGATGAACCCTTGGGGCTACGTGTGCAGCTAAGTCCCATGGCCCAGCAGCCCCATGGTGGACATGACTGTAGAGCAAAGGCAAACGCTAACACATCCGGACTGAAAAGCCTGCCCTGAAAATTTTCAATTCTGAGTCTCATGCCTGCAATTTCATCAGCACTGTCCCACATCAGTTCCAAGTGACAAACAGTTACTGAAGATGTCTTCGTTGGATGCATTTCTATTACCTTGTACCAAAATGTCATTTTCCTATTAAACTGTGCCCAAGTGATTTCTCCAACTTCACATTGTTAATTGTTGTGCCTAATTTGGAAAGTGAGAGTCTCTGAAGGGTCAGTAGCCTGGTGTGTGATGCTCACTGGCTTGGTCAGGGCTTGTGGTTACAATCTGAATCCGCCTCCTTTATCTCCTCTTAGTCCTAACAACAGTCTCCCCATCGCTGTCTCTTCCCAGATAGTCCCCTTCTCTTCACTTTCCAGACTTACCCCATATTTATTGTCACTATTCTTCTCTTTTCAGATATGAAAATAAAGGCTGAAATACCATCTTCAAAGCCTGAGTTATTATGTGCAGGCATGCAAATCAAGAGAAGCTGCAATATAAACATATATAAAATACAGCATTTAATACTGGTGCGATACTTAGCACCTCAGAATCACCTTCACCTTTCATGACAAGTTTGTATATACTATCACAGAGACATACATTAGCATACAAAAAACTCCTACAATGTCAGTAAGATCCAGTTATTTAAAATATTTCACCTTGCTCTGTGAAAGCAAAACTACAAAGGATTAAATTCTGCAGTAAATTCAGAAAAAAGATTGTGGCTTGAACTGCAAGAGTACTCGGGGACATGACTTCCCCACTTAACCTGCCTCACATCCCTGGCTGCTGTGGAGAACAATTATGTCACAAACTTGTCTCACTAATGGGACAACAGAGCATAGGGTTGTATGCCCTTCTTAGAGAGCTCATTATTTTAAACCATTCCAGCAGGTAGTGTCTAATCTAGAAGTTATCTGTCCAGCCCTCTTAATTGGCCAGCTTGCTCTTCCCAAGACTGTACCACTGGTGCACACAAGGGAGAGGAAGAGCAGAAAGAGGCATTTAGAGCCAGCCATCCCTGAGCCTTTTTTGAAGGAATTCAAAGCAATTAGGGAGGGATGCTCTGCAAGGCACAGATCTCTGGGATCAGACTAGAGGTTGCAAAGACTCTTGCTCCAAGGAACTGAATGGCACATACATGCAGAGTTCACTATTTCATATATATAAGCTGTACTTCGCCCATGCTCAGCCAATGTAATTGTAAGGCCTTTAAACCCTTTAAATCCTGCAGCTTTCTAACGCAAATCTTCTTAGACCAAACAGGCCTATCTTCAGCATCACAGCTTCCATCATACCTTAACACAGCCAGCAAGAACCTATTTCAGATGCCCAAATGTCACAAGTGTGCTGGCAGTCCCTCCCCTGTACAGTCCCTGATAGTCACCAATGTTTTCTGACAGCTCAAGGCATCTTTCTCCCTTGTTGAGATGCAGGAAGCAGAGGATTGATGATTTCTTCAGGTCACAAGTGAAAGTCCCTGTGCCCTGAAGGACTCACACTGCAGATCCTGAAAAGTTACTCCGGTAAAACCAGCAAGAGTTAAGAAAGCAGAGATGCTCTGAGCCCTTGTTAGATAGCACAAGGCATGCCAAGGCAGACTACAGTACTTCCGTGATATATGGGGTAAGGGGAACACCATGCTCCATAGTAAATACATGCAATTCTTCATATAAATGTGACTAAATAATATGCAGCAGCAAAACACCTCCGGGTCAGCAATAAATCCCTCCTCTGCACAGTCACTTGTACTCTAAGCAGCAATGGAGTTCCTGCAGCCAGCAAAGAATAATATTTGGAAAAACTAATTTTTATGGCAAAGGAATGAACAAAAAGCACAAAACGGGGTTCAGAAGTTCAGAAACACTTTATTTTGCCTTCTGCTATTTTCTTAAGAAAACAAAACTAAACAAAGTCTGCTTGTTTTAAAACCCATTCAAAAGGCTTCTGAGAGAATCCCCAGAGGAGTAAGGAGCAGATAACATTACAACAGTGGTATGCAAATGGTCTTTTCCCCAGGAAATATAAGATTCTGTGTCCATATTGCAGTAATTACATGTTAACAATTAAGAGGACTAGGATTTTCTTCACCAAGCCTAAAAGCTTTAAGTAAGACATCTCAGTCATTGCTTGGATAACACTGGAGACACTTCTTCAGACATTATAGCTTGTGATTCACTTGGAACAGCTTCCTAGAGGTAAGAAGTAGTCTAGAAATGGAAAGCCCACCAGATCTCCCTTTGAAAAAGAACTGCCGTGTCTTATCAACTACATCATCTATGGTCCACAATAGGAAGAATTGTGCTGTTAGAAACACAAACTCACACCCTAGTTGTTATGGGCTGGAGCCAATAAACAAAACAACCTATGCCAGCATCTTCAAAATTCAGTCATCCCAAGACCAAGCTTAACTTTCACTTCTCATTCATCCTCTATCCTGCACTGACCCAAGCCCTCAGATGCTGAAGAGCTCCAAACCCAGGTCCTTTGGGACAGCTCACACTACCCCTGTAGCACTGCTGATGGCAGGCATAAGATTTGCAAATATTCAAGCAGTTAAAATGCAACATGTCTCCTGCACCCAAAAAGTTTCTCACCTTCTTCTGTCTCCTATTTGGGGTCATAGCTGCACATGAAGGGTGTCAGCAACTATTTAAGCTGTAACATAAAATGGGTTATTGGAGAAGCACAGCTTTAGTGTGTGTGCAAAAGGGTCTTTCAAAAGCAACTCCATCACAGGATGCGCAAAACAGCAGTGTATGAGAACCTAACACTGTGATCCTGCAAACATTAAGCCTATGCACACAGGGAGTGTAACAGACTCTGATATGCATCAGACTTCTCTGGGGACACAGCGACTGTAACATATCCATCACTGTGTATCTACCTAATAACATTGGTTTTGGTGCAGTGCACTGAAGTTTTCCTGCACTGCAGATCCTCCTGCATGAGGTGCACCCAGACAAACTACATGTCCCTAAGACTTGGGCATTGTCAGCTCTGTGCCTCTGCTGAACTACATTAGGAAACACGAGGCATAGGGACCTGGGCAAAATCCACCCTATTTGAACCTGACCCCGAATACCCGGGAATAAAAACACACACACAAAACACAGGCACCACTGGGATTAGTTTGCAGCTCTCCCTACACAATAGCTTTTCCCAAAGCACTAAGCCACCAGCCAACAGCACCTCTTCCAGAAAGAACCACTAAACACCAGTTAACGCACATCA